CTCTTTTTTATGACCTAGATTGTGCCGCTGTTTGAATATGCGTAAATCAAGCAACATTTGAGCTCTCTGAGTGAGTGGCTTTGATGAAGAAGCAAAAAAAATGCGCAGCAAAAAACAGCAGCGCACAACTGGCAGATGTTCTGAATGATCCGCCTGCTTTTTGAACTAAGTGTGATTTCTGATATTGGCAGAATTTGCACGAACAAAATGATGTATCCCGTCATAGTGACAGTGAATTTTGTCAAAAATTGTACCGGACTGTCGCATGGACAGCATTCAGTGTGAGATAAACATGAGGTATAAAAAAAAGAAGGATGGAGGATAAGGACGATCGAAATGGAGGCATTTGATCAAACCGCTTGCACGCTAAATTTATTAAGCTTCATGGGCAGTAGTGGAACTACATGTTGCGCCCAGTGCGCATTCATTAATTAGGCTTTTTGCACATGTGCAACGAATAGGTTTGTTATAAAATGGTTAAAATATAGAGTAAATACTGTGCACATTTAATTAGAGTCTTTTGGCTGTAAGGCTTTGCTTATGTGTGCTTTAAAGAGTAGCAGCAGCAGGGCTTGTTCTCTCTTATAATCCAGATTTGTTAAAGGTTGCGGAAAGAGCACTTTACTACTGGAATAATGAATATATTATGTCGTTGATCAGCGACAATGCTGCAGTTATCTTACCGATTATGTTCCCTGCTCTTTACCGAAATTCCAAAAATCACTGGAATAAGTGTGTTTGCTTTTAAAGTGTATTTATCCAAAATATATTACGGTGCTGAAGTTTTGTTCTTCTGTGCATACACGTGTCTCAGGAATAATTCGACATCTGAATTACAACAAAAGTTAGCACTGGATGTGAACACTCTACATCATGGACTGTCGTCAGCCTAAAAACTATTAGGCTGTGTGATTGCGAAAAAGCAGAGCACTGACGTAACATTTGCTAAAAAAATCTCCCGAAACTCAGCATATGAGTTTTCGCTGCAACTGTTTAAAACCGCTTAGAGTTTTGCAAGTCTACGCCTGAGACTTCATATCGCTGTCTGATATCGCATGCTTATAACTTGTACATAAGCTAGTGTGCGTGCATGTGTTTGAGTGTGTTTATGTATGTGTATGTGTGTTTGTGTGTACGCACATGTGCGTGTGTGAAAAAGAATAAAGCTGTTCAAAATGATTTCACAATGCCATTCCCTAAAATACAAAAGAAATAAAAAGGAAAACGGTAGAACGAATTGACAATAGGTGCTGGGGAGCCAAAATTCCCCAGAACAGGTTACGGCTGTTGACGGGAAACGACGAAGAACACGATGATTCAAAAGGCATGGAAAGCTGCTTAATGTACCTGAGTGACCACAGATCAAAAGATTGCGTCGCTCTAAAGGGGCTAGGCTCTCCAAAGATTAGTCCCAGGGAAAAATTAGTGAAATAGGAACTGGCGGTGTTAAACCATTGTGTCATAAATGATTTACGAAATAAAAAAAAAAAAACAATCATGATGTTACAGTGCCTGATAGAGCTGTATTTAACGTTTTGGTTCAGTTAGACTACTCAGAATGGCAACAGAAATATGAGCAACACAGACGATTTCAAGAGAAATAACATTCTCTAAATTTTATGTCAGGACCACTTCCTTTTGAATGCTGTGCAGACCGCCGACGCGATTGCATGTGCTGTGGGATCTGCGGAAAGAGTTTGTTTACACTTATCGGCTTAGACCGTTAAACACTGTTGCAGGACAATTCATGGATTGATTTATAATGCACTAAAATTATTTATGGAAATAAATCAGAGACTTTTCGATGAGTGCTCGCAGAATTTTAATCGTGAACGTGATGAAGAAAGTGCGAAACAGAATGGAAAACTCACCAAATGGGCGCTTATTGAGAGCAAAGCTCGTGAAAATCCCCAGGTTTAACCAGATTTTGCTTTTTGATAATTATTAGTATATTTGCCGAGATATCTAAGTCATTTAATTCTGTTTCAACCTGTAGTAATGGTAAGAAATGTATACGACTTAATGGTCCTAAACATTTATTACCATTAAATCTTATAATTTACAAATTTCGTAATTTTCATTTCCTACCTTTTTATGCGTTTTGTGCTGTGTAACAGCAGTACAAAACGCATATTGTTACGGGGTTGTCT